TAGGTCTGAATTCCAAAGCATTCATGAATTATAACTATTTAAGTTCAGCGCATTTTCACGTCTATGTTTTAAAAAAGGTGGGAGGGACAGTTAAGAGGTTAAATGTTTCATTTAGAGGTTAGTGTTTCATTAGGCCAACACTATAACATCCACCTAGATAACTTAAAAAAAGAGATATAAAATTATTTTTTTTTTCTTTTACAAATTTACCAAAGGAGGACAACATTTACTAAAAAATATAAAAAAAGTGATTTTCTACATGACTGACTTATTTAAATGAACTACAACTGCAGGTCTATGCAATAACTTATGCTGTATTTTCTCTATACTCATATCAGTAATACCAGCTGACCCAGTATAAAGTGACATAACGCTTTTCTGCAAATCTTGGAAATAGCTTTGAAACTCTCCTGGTACTTTGTAGGAAAGAGGCACACAAATAGCCATAATAACAAGTGGATTGTGCTCTTGTGCATATGCCTTGTCTCATGTGTAGCCTCAGAATTTCATCTGTTCAGTGCAAAAAAAAAGTACAGGATTCACATCTCAGCCTGCTACAGATTGCTTTTCCTCCAGGATACATCTAAGATTAAAGCTGGAGTGAGGACTGGCGTTACAGTATGCCCTATATGATGTTCAGCAGTGTCAGGTTAGTCCAGATTCTCAGTAAGCGAGCATTTCTCCCATTTTATGGATACATGCTCCTCTATTAAAATCATAGAAAAATTCTCAAGAATTCTAGACGCAAAAACTAAACTGACAACGTAAAGTTTGCAGTGCATTGCATCAAGTTTGTTACAACCAATTTTCAGAGTTTGTGTCCAAATCTGTCTGAAAGTAAGCCAACAACGCCTTAGGGAACTTCTTTTCCAGTATGCAGCTTATCATCTGTAATGTCCTTTGATACTTTCCATCACTCTGTTGTCCTTGAAAGAGCACTATTGAATCAAGACAAAGGGACTGAAATGTGAATGCAAATGATTTTGCTCAGTGATGTTGCAAGGAGTCATCTTTTTACATTTCAGATTTCATGCAGAGTATTTCTAGGTGGTCTCTGCACATTAGGATGGAACAACTGGCACTTGAAAGCCCACCCGATGTGCATTTGATGCAGTCACGGCTGAAATTCTTCCTGTTAATGGAAACGTTTTGATCCAACGGAAATGTTAATCATCTACAAAAGTGGTCCACTCACTGAAATGTCATTGCCACCCTCTTCATTGCCTTCCAATAATTAAGAACATGTTATGAACTTCTTTTTCCTTTTTTATTTGGAACACTGTGAGCTCTTTTGAAAGTTGTGATTTTTAAAGAAATGAATGTTTCATCATTTGGACCCCCTGAGTAGCTGCCAACAGCTTGCTCTCTCTGAATGATACTTCTCACTTAATTCCTCCTCCCTTCAGCCACACAAACATAGAGCATGTATGGAACAGACATCATTAAAACTCCAGTCAGCTTCCAAATGCTCCAACATGTGGTCCACTCAGCATTAAAAAAACCCATACATTTAGCTTTACACATTGCAATTATAATGTAGACTTGAACTTCAGGCACCACACCATATTGGAGAGAGAATATTAGTGTTTTAATACACTTATACGGAACACCTATCAAACAAAAAAAAAAATAAAAAAAAAATAATGGCTGATGAAAGTGCACTAGTCATTAATGCTCACATGTAACACATTACTTGAACTTTAGGTGTACTTGCACTGTTGTTACAGACATTAATGAATATTTCATTTCATGCAATATTTCTTATCTAATGTTATTTTATTGGCATTTGAACAATTAAATTTACAGTGGCGGGATGGACCCAGTAAACCTTTTTTTTTTTCAAAGTAACCGCTTTGGTTGCCAGAACTTCATAAAAGCTATGACAATGTTTATGGTATTACAGGATGGCATATTGTTGCCTGTATATTTTACATCTTATAACCATATATTTCATGTTCCTGATAAATTGTTAATATACAGTATCAATTTACTTGAACTACCAAAATCCACTTTTTACCTTAAAATGCAGCCTGGTGATAACCACCATAATAATACAGGTGGTACAACAGAAATTAGTAAGTTTGATTTGATTTATTAAAGGGGTCCTGTCATGCCCTTGGACTGCCCCTGTGTTCCGTGTCTTGTGTTTTGCTCCCCATGTGCTCCCCATGACCCAGTTTCTCCTGTGTTCATTGTTTCCAGGTGTTCCCCATTTAGTTCCTCAATTTAAGCCCTGTGTTTTCCTGAGTCCTGCGTCTAGTCTAACGTCTACTCCATGTGCTATGTGTGCATTCCCTATGTTCCCTGCTTTGTGGATTAATAAAGACAGTGGATCATTGTGACTCTCCTACGTGCTCCTCGTTCCTCGCTCCAACACAGTAGCAGTTTAGGGCTTTAGGGTTTAGTAGCTATAGAGCTCCGGCCGTAGAGGCCGGGCCGAGTGCCGAGGCCAAGGCCATGGAGGCTGCTCCGCCATGGCCCCCTGAACTGTCTGCTCCGCCATGGCTCCACGGGCTGCCTGCTCCGCCATGGCTCCCTAGTCTGCCTGCTGCGCCATGGCCCCCTGAGTTCCCTGCTCCGCCATGGCTCCCTAGTCTGCCCGCTCCGCCATGGCTCACTGAACTACCTGATCCGCCATGGGTCCCGGAACGGGTACCGCCCTGAAGGCCGTCTGTCCTGTGTAGGCCTATCCTATAAACTATCCTATAAACTGCCCTATTAACTCACAAATAAATTACATATTTCAAATCAGCAAAAAAATCTGAAATGAACTGCCTCATGAATGTTGTTTCTTATGCTCAAATAGCGTTTAAAAAGCTTATTTTTCAGGCTAGACCAGCCAATGCGCATGCCTCAGGTTTCTATGGGAACCAGAGCTTCTAATGGCCGCAGCAGTGACCCAATGACTTTACCAATCAGCGATTGGCTCTTTCATTTAGACGGCGGGACTATTCCGCCATATTGCGAGTTGCAGTTTCTCCCTTTCATAAGTATAGGAGTGAACAGTCTTTATATTTCTGTAGTCTTTGTCTGTAGTGCAGCTCAACCAGGCATCGCTCCCTTTTTTTGCATATTACGTGGGCAGGAATGATTAAAATGATAAATACAATTATAATTTTTTGTCTTTTTCTGTAAAATTCAGTGTACACTAGGGCTGCACGATAAATCGCATGCGATATTTAATGCGCATTCTGTGTAGTTGATGCTGCTCAATGTGAAAGCACGTACGTGATGGAGATTCACCGCTGATTACAGAACTGGCTTTCTGACAACATGCGCATTAAATATCACATGCGATTTATCGTGCAGCCCTAGTGTACACTACATTTTTTTTCAGTGTACACTACTGCGATTGATGAATCGATTATGGAGGAGTATTGCATTGAGAATGGCTGACACATTATCTGTGCATGAGTTTGTGATGATGAAGGTATCTCGAGCTATTTTGTACGCTCAGTCCTCCATGCTGATATATGGTACAGGCTTCTTTCATGTCGAACGAGCTCAGTAGCTGATAGCCTTGAATTAATGTGGAGCAGTGTTACTCATTGCGTGGCTCGCTAAGCTTTCATTTGTGGCTCGCATGGCATTAAATAATACGGTGATCATGCAGTCAATACAGATATTTCATAAAAACATTAAAAACAAGCAGGGCCACAACATAAAAAACTCAGTGTCTGTTTTACAACTAATTTATATTTAAAAATACCCAAAACTGCGGCATTACAAGATGGAAATATAAACTAGGAAAGATATTTAAACTCGCTCTGCTCTTATATGTCCGTGACACTGACTCACTGCAGAGTTGCCAGTTTTGGCGGTCTTTCCAGATATATAAAAAAACTTAAGATCATTAAAAAAATTGTTTTACCAAAAATATATTATGCATACCCTCTATATCACATGCGTTTGAATATGGAATATACTTGGGCATGTACTAAAATAAAAAAAAAAAATGTTAGCACTAAATTGGAGCAATTAAATTAGAGGACACTAACCTGGCAATTCATAGGCCTACTAACGCACATTATAACAACGCTAGCTTAGCTACGTTTTTTTCCAGCATTTCATGCTAGTCAGCTTGTTAAACAAAGTCATGCACCAAGTGACAGTGTCAAACGAGGGAACTACAGATTTGGAGCATGCAACAACCGCAAATCGACAGGAAGATGATGGAGACAGAGTTTGTGGAGAGTCAACTCCTGCTAAAAAGAAAGGTTTGATCCGTGCAGCACAAATAAAACCTTTTGTGTTTACTATGCAAACAAACCCGCTCTGGTTTCAACCGAAGTAATTTGGAGTGGCATTTCCAAACGACGCACCCAAAATTCAACGAAAGTTATCCACCTGGAAGTGAAATAAGGAAAAGAAAAATAGAGCAGCTTTCTTCCTCTCTTTCTGGACAACAAAGGCTCATACATAGGACAACTTCTACAGCTGAACGTTTAACTGAGGCATCTTTTGAGATCGCTTGGATTTTGGCTCGCGGAAAAAAACCCTTCTCAGACTCAGAAATTGTGAAAGGTTGCTTTTTGGCTTCAGCAGAAATATTGTTTGCGGAGTTTGATAACAAGGACACAATTGTAAAGCAAATTAAAGGATCACAATTATTCGATTCCACCATGAGGCGGATTGAAAACATCGGCAAAGATGTGAGTGACCAGCTCTGTGCAGATATGTCAGCAGCACCGTGTTTCAGCATCGCGGTGGATGAAAGCACCGATTTGACAGATGTTGCTCAGTTGTGTGTTTGGGTAAGGTTCCCTAAAGAAAAGTCTTTCCAAGAAGAAATGCTGTGCTTACTTCCACTTGTTGGCCAAACGAGAGGTGAGGACATTCTAAATGCACTTCTGGCATTTTTTGATTAAAAAAAAAAAATCTCAGTTGGTCAGGTCTAGCAAGTGTGTGCACAGATGGCGCCCCTAGCATGCGAGGAAAGGAGAAGGGGCTTGTTGGGCTCATGAAAAGGGGATTGATTGGATCATTGAAAGTTGGGGCGTTGCTAACAAAATGAAGGCAGATCTGAATGCCAGTTTGCAGCTTGAGACAAGCATATGTTACTGGCAGGATCAACCAGGTAGCCCTCGGGGGTGGGACGGAGAACCACAGCGTGCTGGTTTCCTACACGCGGGTCTCACTCCACGATGTCACGGGTTGCCAGGGGAAAGGAGCACTTTGGAGGTAGCACCATGTCCAAGAGCGCTGAGTCAGCGGCGCCCGGCGGGCCTGAGTCAGAGGCGGCCGGCGAACTTGACTCTGGAGCGGCCGGCGGGCTTGTCTTGGGAACGGA